AAAGGGAATTTAGGTAGTGCTTTGAGAGGTTGCATTGGGATTCAGATGTGAGGGAGATGTTGAAGGACCTTAAATGACATAGGTTACCTGAGATTTATGTAGTTGTGCCTAGCCAGATTTATGCATTGCCTCAAGAACCATACCAAGAACAAGTGCTTGAGGTCCTAGAAAGTAGTGTCGGTAATAAAGGGGATGTCAGTATAACAAAAGGTTGCTACATCCTGATGTTTGATGTGGATGAAGGTAGTTTGGATGGGGTGAACATTGGTAACTATTTTGCCTAAAAATTTGGAAGAGGTGTAGTCGCCAATTGAGGAAACACTCATGTATGAAGCTAGAGTTGCTACTTCACAACCGGATGATACTGAAGAGAACTCAGGGATAGGTGAGAAAGAATCGGAGCATGAAGAACATAGTGATGATGATAGAATGGAAGATGAAACTGAAGGCTTTCTGGAAAGTGATTATGAGATTAAGGATGAATTTGAAACTGATGAAAAGGTTAAGGAAGAAGCTAACTTTGGTTCTGATTTTGATTGTACGATGGGCAAGAAGTTAGAGACATATACACTGACTATGAGGAGTCATATGAATTACGAAGTTTGGATAGTGAAAAAGATGGATGAGCAACATCCAAAAAGAGAGAACAAAAGGATAAATTCAATCTTTGGACCGACGTAGAGCAACCAGATTTCAGAAAAGGTTATCAAAAACCCCCTCTAAAATGCTAATATGTTTGAATAATCCCCCTTAGATCTTCAATACTTTATGTAATGAACTTGAAACTGATGAAAAGGTTGAGGAAGAAGCTGACTTTGGTTCTGATTTTGATTTTTGATTGTACGATGTGCAAGAATTTAGAGACACTAACTATGGGGAGTCATATGAGTTACGAAGTTTGGATAGTGAAAAAGATGGATGAGCAACGTCCAAAAAGAGGGAACAAAAGGATAAATTCAATCTTTGGACCGACGTGGAACAACCAGATTTCAAAAAAGGTTATCAAAAACCTCCCTTAAAAATGCTAATACATTTGAATAATCCTCCTTAGATCTTCAATACTTTATGTAATACCTCCCATACAAATAGTTATTTTGTAAAATACCCCCTTGACATAAATATGTTTTGTGTTTTACATCCATCACATTTTCATTTTGTATGTTGCAGGTATGGTTTTTTAGACAAAAACAATTTTGAAACGGGCCATAATTCTGATCCTCTCTACCTAACCCACACTAATTCTACATCGCCACAACTGCTACCGGAGGCCACCATCGAGTTAATTGCGGCACTCATCTCTTTATCCTCTATCTCACACATAGACATAGACGGCGCCGGAGACACCACCAAGCTCAGAGTGATATCGGGAAGATTGTTGTACACTTGGCCTTGTATTCCTTCGTGGCGAGGAGGTTATTTTCACTTACCATTGAAGGTCCGTTGTTGTCGATAGGGATGACAAAAAAATCCGACAAACCCGATACATGCGGGCCCCGCCTCGAACGGGGCGGGGATTACCCGCTTAATCGGGTATTCGGGGCTGGGACCAGTAACGGGTGCCCCATCCCTCCCCATTAAATTTTTTTTTTTAAGAATTCAATACTTTAAATGGAAAATTTCATTAGTTCTAATAGAAAATGAAAACTAAAATTATTTGTCTCAATCTAATGAATGAGGGCAAAATGTTGTTATGGGACTCGAAATTGGCCGCGTTGCTGGTCGTGGTGTTCTTACTGGGTCGATTGTTCAGGCACATCTGGCCTTTTTTCTTCATCAGCGTCAACACCATCACCATCGCCTTTGTGCGGTCAACACTCAGTTCGCAACTGCGTGCCGCGTTCAAAGCATTGCTCAGTAGCGATCTCAACATTTAGTGACCAGAGCGGTGCAGTGACAACCTGAGTAATGGTTTTTGTGGTGTTGGTGGTGGTTTGGGAGTGGAGGTGGTGACGACGATGGTGGTGGTGATGATCACAAAGTGGTGGTGTTGGCGCTAGCAACGGTGACATGGTGTTTGGTTGGTGTGGGATGAGTTAAAGAGTTTGCAACAAACTATTTGGTTGATTTGATACCAAGTATTGAGGTCGGTGGTGAGATTCAAAGGTTGGGGTGTTTGGTGTTTGTAACCAACTGTTTGATTAATTTGTGACCAACTATTTTGATAATTGTGACCAACTATTTGGTTAATTTCTAACTAACTATTGGTGTCAATAGCGATGTATGGTGAAAAGTGCTTTGTGGCCAACTATCTTGTTAATTTGTGATCAACTATTTAATATATGACCTAGAAATTAGATAATTTGTGACCGTTGTGATCTGTAAAATTTGTGATTTGTAACCTATAAATTTTTCGAATTGTGATCGAAAAATAATTTGTGATCAATTAATTTGATGATATGTAAGTAATAAATAAGTTGTGACTTATAAGTACTGTAATCATAAATTGTATAATTGTGACCTTATTATATTTGATTAATAAAATAGTTTTAATTATTTATTTATCAATTGAGTTTTGAAATTTTAAACTTATTCCATTAAAATTGAATTTTCCATTAAAATTGAATTGGTCCATACTTAAAGACTGGGATACGAATTTTTCCCATGTAAGATTCTGCAGAGACTAACTTGATTCATAGAAATTCAAAACGGCAAATTCAATGAACGAACACAAATCTAGGTCCCACCATGGTCGGCAATAATTCTCGGATGTGTAATTCTAGTGGTTGGTCAGGATTCGTTCAATTTTGCCTACTAGTAGACAATCAAGACACTTGTGTTCGTCTTCTAGAGCAACATGCCAACCAAGCAAAGGACAACTGACAAGAACAAAGAAAGTAGGAAAATTCTGAGTGTACAGAAAAAAAAACTACCAGAACATTATCAGACTCTCACATGGTGTGTGGGCCCCATGTGAATTAAATAATGTCCAAAAAATGGGGCCCACGCCCAATGTGAGTATCTGTAGCATTTCTGTAAAAAAAAAATTCTAGTAATGTAGCATTGCTCAAGAAAGTAACTCATCAGTACCATGTCCGACCTCATCAAACTAAAGTACACAATATCGCAACCTAACTGGAAAAAATTGATGGGCAAGTATTGTGTTCTAAGAATTATGAAGCAGCTTGGGCATTTTAATTGGAATTGAACCTTTCGAATTGAAATCGAACCAGGATTGGCAATAGATCGCTCGCCAGTTGCGAGTTGCGATCTGCTCTTTCTCTTCCTATCACTAGGTCGGCCTGAATTATGAATCGAAATTAAAAATCAAAAATTGACTGAATTTGGATCGACTATTGGTTCCTGAACTAGAACCGTGGATATCAAATGAAATTGATTTTTTTTAATACAATTTTAATTTACAATTTATAGTTTGTGTAAAAAAAATAGAAATCCTAAAAATCCTAATTTGGATAGTAATTTGTTTGAAATTCTAGACTCTAACCCAAAAAACTTAAGACTGCTCTTACTTCTTTTTTTTTCTCGTCTCAATCAAATTATTGTATTTTAGAGGTTAATACATGTTAATCTTTGCAATTTGGATTTTCTAAGAATCAAAAAGTTTAAGTTAGATTGTGGTGTAAGTTGATGAATCACGGCGTTCATTATTCGCAATTTGAGTTTTTTATTTTCTTGTATATTATTTACAAATTTAAGTGATTTTTTAATTATTTTATAATGCGTGGCAATTGAACTTGATATATTCATAACTTAGGCTGTGGTGTACTTTTTTTATTATCTTGAGTTCAAGGTTCTTTTTTGAAATGTATTTTTTTCCTCTTTTTATTCATACAGAGCGAATTCATTATGTGGACAGCAATTTTATATCAATTCATTTTCAGTATTGTCAATAATTAAATTATGAACTCTTAACATACCTCACTTATGGATAGGGGTGTCAACGAGCCTATCCGAGCCGCGAGCCAAAAATTTTTACTCAGACTTGGCTTGAGTAAAATAGTTCGAACTTTTTTTTGCTCGAGCCGAGCCGAGTCGAGCAAAAACTCGGCCAAAAAATTTAGGCTCGACCCGATCTTTTAGCCTGGGCCTTAGTGAGCCAAGTCGGGC